GCTAGAAGCAAGTGGGTGTCGATTGAATCATGCAAGGGATGATGCGTTTTGTTGTTGGGTTGAATCATCTTTTCAGTGTTTTCTAGAGACACAGTAACAGAAAATTGAGTTATGCAGAGATAGAGAAAGAGCACAAAGGGAAAGTTTTTGTTTTTGTTTTTTAAAATTTCTGACATGAAGAAGAAGATGCCAACTGAAAGTGATTTTATTTCATTTATGTTTCTCGTTTTAATCCAAAGTTGGGTTTTCATTATATGTTTGTGTTTGTTTGGATGGGTAAAGAATTGATTAATGAATTATGGGTATTAGGGGAAGACGATGGATACAGAACAGATAGTAGAATTGAAATTTTTAGTTAAAATAAAAATTAGACAAATTAAATAAATAATTATATCATTTTTAAACATGATTTACTGAGTATAAATATAACCTTATATTATAATGAAATAATTAATGAACAGAAACACTCTGTAAATATCTGACATGATTGAGGATGAATGCCGCTTTCTGGAAAGATTTTGTTTTGTCTCGAACAACATAGCATAGTCAGACAGGCGGTGGTAATGAATGAACAGAACAACATATTTTGTTGTCCTACTTATTATTAGAATGAAGCCATACCTTGAATGACATGACACATTAAAATAATATAAACAAATAAATGAATATAAAATGTTGTTGGACATTCTTATCTCAACCTATGCCACCTGAATGAGTGCTCTCTCAGAATTAATTTAAAACAAATAAATACTTTTTTTTTTCTGTTTTATCATCCAAGTCAAATGGAGTCAATCCAACGCATACTTTTTCTCTATTTGGTTAATTTTATATAATTTTTTTTCTCAATCAGTACCCTAACTCTTTAATTAAAATTAAACCGCCATTTTTAAACTTGACGTATAAAATAAGGAAGCTATGTGTGACATAAAATAAGTAAAGATGAGAAATTTTGTATTATCAGTTTAGAGGATATAAGTTAATGCAAAAGTTAATTTTATAAAACTAAATTAGATTTAAATTAATAAATAAATTCTCATTAGCAAACAATGGAATGAATGATATTAAACAATAATCGTGATGGTATGATGATGAATGAGAAGGTTTGGCAACAAATCCACTAATCAATGAGCCCTACCCTACACTAGAATGAGATAATTAATTTTCTTCTATGTGTGGTCCTCACAAATAGCATTTGGTTGATTACAATTGGGGAAGGGAGGAAAAAAGAAAGAGATTTTTTCTTAAAAAAATTTGTTTAGTGTGAAAGAGGAATGTATTAAAATTCTTCCTCATTTGTTTTTGTTTCTCTTTCAAATTTGGAGTGATATGCATGAAAACGAAAATTTTATATTGGGTAAATAAATTATATATAGTTTAATAGTTTTATCTAATCATAAGTAGCTAAATATCTTTCCTTAAACTTAAAAAATGAGTGATTAAATTATAGGGATAAAGATGAGAAGTTGATGAGATCCAGCTATGAGCACACAAAAAGCAAATAGAAAGTGAGAAAAAGACAAAAATTTGAACTCAATATGCTTGATTTTTGCTTTCATAATAATTACTAGTTAATCTAACTAGGCTCAACATGTTTACAAAAAAGTAAAGACAAAAAGATGGTTTTTAGTTGGACATCTAACTAGGCTCAAGATGTTTTACAATACTATTGTTAATTTCCTTTACAATGTTGTAAACATAATTTATTTTATTTTAATCTTGAAAAAAAAAAGTAATGAAAATATTAAACCCTTTTTCTAACTCATTAGTTTTTACAAAGTTTTAAAAATTAAAAGTTGAAGTTATGTATAAAGATATATTAATTAAGGATAAAAAAATATAAAAAATAAATAAAAAAGCAAGCAAAAATACTGTTTCTTTTGCCAATGTTTTTTTAGTTCTCCATGGATAGCTCATCACGTCATCACTGTTTATATGTTTGGGTAATATTTAATAAAATTGATTTTTAAGGGAAATAATTTATTTTAAAAGTAACTTAGTAATATTTTTTAGCAAATGAAAAAGAAATGTTTGAAAAAGGATTCAATTCAAATTTTATTTTAAAATATAGTTAATTCTTTAATGCGAGACTTCTGAATTATTGCTTAAATATTCGTTATAACTAATATTTCAATATAATTTTATATGATAACATGAGCTCAATTACGTATAATGTTTTTATACAGTACAAAGTCTATCAAAACTTATTTTAACATAAAAAATTAATTTCTTAAGATCGAATATATTAATTTTTCAATGATATAATTGAAATAATATTAACAAAACTCCATTACTATTATAATGATAAAATTACATACGTTATTTTGAATATTTTATATTGGTTGTGAAACTGTTGCTAATAATAGTATAGGAAGTTGGATTTTTTTTCTACTTTGTTAATAATTTATACAGAAAAACAATACATTTAATGTCACTTAGAACAATAATTAATGTAGAATATAAATAATAGGAAACATTATATTATGAATTGGGAAGAACTTCTACATCAATTATGACATGCCATTGACGTGGAAAGATACACTGTCTACATCCTAACTAGCCAATATGAAAAATATTTCCATTATTATCACATTGCTACTACATTTCATTTCATAACAAGCATTTCCTTTTTAAATAAGTGTAACGAAAAATATCTTTTTCTCACTAGTGTTTGGATTATATATATATATATATATAATGTGTAAAATATATACAGAAATATAATCTGTATTACCACCTTGTTCAGTTTTTTCATTTTAGTAAAATTTGATATGAAATTACAATAATCTATATATTATATAAAGTAAGGTTTGACGATAAAAAGAGAAAGCGAAGGAGTTGCATTTTTAGCGTATAGAGAGGTATTCAACTGATTCTAAGTATTCCCGACAACTTCACAACATATGTTACTTTATCAAAATGCGATGCTACTTGTTTCCCATAAAAAAAATTACTTTTGCATTTAACACAAATTTGTTTCAAAGTATTAATTAATTTTATTTTTCATATTCTCATTATTCACTTAACATTTATGGGAGAGATATAATTAAATTATAATCTTTCTTTTTCTTTTAATCAACATGAAATCTTCATGACTTCCTCAAACATATGAGAAATCGAGAAAAATCTATTAACAAATGATATAATAAGTCCACATCTGTACTATGATAAACTCTGATAAAATATTAATAAAGTGAAATTAAATGTAAGAAAATTTACATTGAGAGATAACAACCATATGAAAAGTTAATTTTAATTTATTCACCTTATGTCACACTTGCTTTGTATTACGTGTAGTGTTTTTAAAATTAGAAAAAGCTATATAAAGTTATATTTATATGATAGTATAGACATCGAATGTAAATACTTGCAATTTCTATATTATAATTTATAGTTATAATGTTCTCCCTCTTACTTTATTGCTATTATTAATAAAGTAGTATTTAATGTATTGGTTATTGAATTTATTATGAAGGTTTATTACATGAAAAACAACAAACACATTTTATAGTTAATGTCAGCGTTGTGCTTCTAATTTATTCAAAGATTTGGGCCCATTGATATTGATAAATTAAATAGAGGGATTATTAAAATTATATGTATTTTATATGAATTTTTCTACCTGTAAATAGTTTAATGAAATTTTGTATGTACTTATATGCCATTTATTGATGTGAGGTGATGCGAAAGACTGATGTTAAAGTTTCACTCAAGGAAAAATAGACGTTAGGTATATGAAATGTGATGTTTTATTCACTTGTATGATGATAGTTTAGACTTGTATTTTACACATTTAACCTCTAAGAATAAATGTCTTAAAAGAGGATTAATTTGGACGTGGAGATAATTATAACAAATATTTTTAAAATTGAAATAATATCAGTTTAAAATTTGAATAGATTTGAAGAATTTTTTTTTTTATTAGTAAGAGAAAAAATATTAAGAGTTCTCATCAATTCATAAATAATAATACATACACTAACCTTTTGTAAGCTTGGCCCAAAAACCAAAATGCCAAATCTTGTTTATTGTAAGTTCTACAGTTGACATCCTGGTCCAGATTCAATGAAAATTTCATCGCATATTGCCCTCTCGCAAGACATCAATCATACTATACAATCTCTTCTCATCCTTTGCTTCAATCTGCATAGATGAAGTAACCCAATAAAGGATCGTATACAGAGAATGGTTAAAGCAAGAACAACTGTTGGTAGTTAAAATTGTTTTAACAGACGAAGGGCATTCCCAATCATAGGTTAAGATGGAATTAACACCTCCAGACATCGTAAGTTTGTTCTAAGAAACATTAATGTCGAATTCCTCACTGTACAAGTTACTTGATCTTCAACATCAGTCCAAGACAGAAGTTTGATGCAAGAGTGATGATTTTAGCAACCACTGCAAAATACAGATTAACAGTTGACCCTTCTCTAGCCCACAAGTACCCTATAGATTACAATACAAACGATATAATCACATTCAACTTCAAATGCAACAATCAGTAGTGAATCGATATAGGAACAGTGCAGTTTAAAAACAGTTAAACAATCTAGAGTTTTTAAACAATTTAGGTTTTAATGCAGCTCATTTTAGAGGGTTAGTAGTTTCTTTTTTGTATATCCTTTATACCAGATGAAGCAATATGGTCAGACAGAAGCTTTGTCCTGAGCATGAAATGGAAAGAGTCGTGAACAAGAACCCATACATAGATGCGAAGCGTTCGTGGTCTTTCTCCTCCGATCGTACCAATACCAAGAGAAGAGTAATGGAATCGGTTCTAATTTAAAACCTACAAGCTTACAGATGGTTATATTCTTGTTCTTCCCACTAAGCCAAGGTGAGAAGAAAAGCACCAAAAACATTGGCAATTGTAATCAACCCCATTGAAACGAATAGTTAATTGGGTTATATAAATAGGGTTATTATCAGTTCCAGGAGCTCTGATATAAAAGCAAAGCAAAACTATCACCACGTACGTACCCAGAAAGATCAAGAAAAAAAAAATGGGGTTGGGGTTGTTCAAGGCGTTGTTTTGCTGTAGCAAGGTCCGTCAAATTGAAATCGAGGAGTCATGGGAGTCGTCTCCGGAGCATAGGTCGAAAGAAGATAGTGGAAAAAGAAAAGCAGTAGTTGGTGAATTTGGTCTTGAGAAGAAGAGGAGCACGCCACAAACGGGAGCTATTCTGGGAAAACCGTACGTAAAGATAGAGCAAATGTACGAGATGAAGAAAGAGCTGGGAAGCGGGCAGTGGGGTGTGACTTATCTGTGCGTGGAGAAGACGACGCAGAGAGAGTACGCTTGCAAGTCGATTGCGAAGACGAAGCTGGTGAGTGCGCAGGAGATTGAGGACGTGAGAAGAGAGGTTATGATTCTGCAGCATCTGTCCGGGCAACCCAACATCGTGGAGTTCAGAGGGGCTTTCGAAGACAGACACAGCGTGCATCTGGTGATGGAGCTGTGCAGTGGAGGCGAACTCTTCGACCGCATCATTGCCAAAGGGAACTACTCAGAGCGTGAGGCGGCGACGGTGACGAGGCAGATCGTGAACGTCGTTCATGTCTGCCATTTCATGGGCGTCATGCATCGAGACCTCAAGCCGGAAAACTTCTTGTTGGCCACCAACACAGACGATGCTGCCGTCAAAGCCACTGATTTTGGACTCTCCATTTTCATCGAGGAAGGTCACTCTTTCCTTCATTTCCATCTTTTTATCTTATTAAATGAATGTAGAGTATCAAACAAACATCAAGAACCTCTTTTCTGACAAAATGAAAATCACCTGATTTTTTAAAGGACAAAGTCGTCATAACACATATTTTTTTATAACATTTTTACACAGAATGTGATTTTGGATTTACAGTATGAGTATACTTTATGTTAAAATATCTTAAAAAATCTATGTTAATTAAAAAAAAATTATTTTTATTTGATAAAAATGAGATTTAGGGACAAAAAAGATTTATTATTTAAAGAAAATATATTTTGATAACATACATATTAAATTTTTTATTAATTCTTTATTTATTATTATTTTTAATTCAATAAAAAACTAATAAAAAAATAACATGTTTATTTTGTCAAAATTTTATCAAAATGTTCTTATGTATTAATATAGAGTAATAATAAAGTAACAGTTTTACGTTCATTTCACATATAATATAATACGGGTAAAATGATTATAAAAAAAATGAATTTTTGTATTTTTTTTAAAAAAGGAAAATAAAAAGTAAAAGATTTATGTTTGTTAAAAGTATATTTTTCATTAAAATATCATTCCCATTCTTTGGTTTGGTATTGGGTATGAGAGTGGGCCTGAAGTGAGAGAATAGAATAAGGGCATAAAAGATCAAACAACATACATTAGCTAAGTTAAAAAGACACAAACTAACGTGAAACAACATATTATGAATAAATAAAACCTTTCTCCCTGTCTCTTGTCTCTCTCTAACAAAGCGTACTGCGTACTGATGCAAAAAAGTGAGGAATGGTGCTTTATGTTGTGTGAGTGAGAAGTGAGGACCATCTCATCCCATACCCGATATCCATATTCCAGCCCCAAAGCAAAAGCAAAGGATAAATCAAGAGTAGTAGCACTGAGTTTCTTCTGTACACAAGCTAGCTGCTTCTGTTTCCAACTCAGAAACTCAAAATCTCAGACATCAATCAGAATCTCTCCACAAACAAACGTTATTTATCCACATGGGACACTGTTTCAGCAAACCCCGCAGCAACGAAATAGCAATCAACTATGATTCACCGCCCCATCATCGTTATCAGCCTCGTGCACACCCACCACCACGAAGAACCCAACAACAACACCAAAACCAACCTCATCTTCGACCTCGTTATCCCTACTCTGCTCCAAACTCCGACCCTTCTCTTTCCATCGCTCCTTCATCATCATTCTCTGATCAGTCACGAATTCTGGATAAACCGTACTTCGACATCAGCGCCCTTTACGTTCTGGAGAGGGAACTGGGGAGGGGTCAATTCGGGATCACTCGTCTTTGCACCGAGAAGACCACCGGAAGGAAGTATGCCTGCAAGTCCATTCCAAAGCGGAGGCTAACCAAAAAGAAGCAAATTGAAGATGTCAAGAGGGAAATTCTGATCCTGCAGCACCTCTCTGGTCAACCCAACATCGTTGAGTTCAAGGGTGCTTACGAGGATTGGCAGAATGTGCATTTGGTGATGGAGTTGTGTTTGGGTGGCGAGCTTTTCGATCGCATCACTGCAAAGGGTAGTTACTCCGAGAGTGAAGCTGCTTCCATATTCAGACAAATCGTGAATGTGGTTCATGCATGTCACTTTATGGGAGTCATGCATAGAGACCTTAAGCCAGAAAATTTCTTGCTTGCTAATAAGGATCCCAAGGCACCGTTGAAAGCCATCGATTTTGGATTGTCCGTCTTCATTGAAGAAGGTCATGCGTCACCCATTTCTCTTCCATTCATTAATTCCTTTACTTTCTTTATTTACATTTACCACATCACATCCTTCTCTGCAGCATTCAACCTCTGATTGCTCCTTCTCCTTTTTCTTTTTTTCTTTACTAAAGAGATTCCAAACGTTGCCGTGTGAGTTTGTCAGTATAAATGAAAAAGCAATAATTGCCGTAATACAGTAGGTAGAGGAAGAAGACCGAGTCAATTGCTATTCTGGACACATGGAGTCAACCGAGTAAACGATCTCCAATATGATAATGACAAGTCAACCGAGTAAACGGTTTGCCATTATAAAAAGGAGCAACAGAAAAAAAAAAACAGACACAAGAGGTCATTCAGCCAGTAAAAATGATATTCTGTTTTTAAAAGCATGATGGGTAGTTACTTTCAAAAAGAAAAATAAACGATGGGTATTAAAAACTGCTTTCACCAACATGGTGGCAAAAAAATTGGCTGATATGTTTGACTACAGTTACATTTTAAAATTTGCGTTTTTGTATGTATTAATTGGACTGTACTAAACAATATGAAATTGTACAGGAAGAGTGTATAAGGAGATTGTTGGAAGTGCATACTATGTGGCTCCGGAGGTGTTAAGGAGGAGTTATGGAAAAGAAATAGATGTGTGGAGTGCAGGAATAATTTTATACATCCTTCTAAGTGGAGTGCCTCCATTTTGGGCTGGTAAGTATATATAATCTGTGACTCTATCTGAAAGGTACATTGTTTTAGTATTGTTCATTGCTCTGGTAACATTATCTGTGGGACAATTTTAGAAACGGAGAAGGGAATATTTGATGCAATTTTGGAAGGCAAGCTTGATCTGGAGAGCGCACCATGGCCTTCTATTTCAACTGCTGCAAAGGATCTGATCAGAAAAATGTTGAAACATGACCCTAGGAAACGCATTACAGCTGCCGAAGCCCTTGGTAAGTATGTCATGCTGCTGCATTTTACGTTTTAGCCACACGCATTCTGATGGTTTTTCAAGTATGTATTCCATCCAAACTCAATACAAAAGCATCGACATTTCTCATCTGAACCAGAACACCCGTGGATGAAGGAGGGCGGTGAAGCGTCTGACAAACCTATAGACAATGCTGTTTTAACTAGGATGAAACAGTTCAGAGCAATGAACAAGATGAAGAAACTTGCTCTAAAGGTACCTCAAATTTTTCAGTAGTGCATTAAATTTGAATCAAATATATAAATACAAATGCCTTGCAAAAATGTAACTACTGTTGAATGTGGTCAGTTGAGTGAGTGGAAGTGGAGAGTTAATTAAAAACTTCAGAATAAAAATCTGTTACACTTGCTTGACATAACAAAAATGGTATGAGAAGGTAGAAAATAGAAGTGAATATTGTTCTAGTAATAGAATTTGCTTGTTTTTTATATGAAAGGTTATAGCAGAAAACCTTTCAGAGGAGGAAATCAAGGGCTTGAAACAAATGTTCAACAATATGGACACTGATCGCAGTGGCACAATCACATACGAAGAACTCAAATCTGGATTGACCAAATTGGGTTCCAAGCTTAGTGAACATGAAATAAAGCAGCTAATGGAAGCTGTAAGTTCAGTCTCGTCCGAATTAATCTTTACAAAATACTTTTTCTTATACACCAAGATATTATAAGCAATGATACATATAATTTTTCCATCTCAGGCTGATGTTGACAAGAGTGGAACTATTGACTATCAAGAATTCATCACTGCCACTATAAACCGGCATAAACCTGGAGAAGGAAGAGAATCTGTATAAGGCTTTTCAATACTTTGACAAGGACAACAGTGGGTCAGTACAGAAGTTCATTAGTTTGATATCTGTATTAACTTTAGTACATTGTAGTTATTTGAATTGTGTATTTTCAATGGTTTTTGCTGAGTTTGCTCAGAGATATAACAGAGAAGAAGCTTAGACAAGCATTGACTGAATATCAGATGGGAGATGAGGCAACTAAGATGAAGTGATCGATGATGTGGATACTGATAACGTATGTGTTCTTACATAGGTTATGTTAAAAGGTTGTGTTATCATGATGTAATGGTATGGACTAATGGTTGAGGTTTCCATTTGCAGGATGGGAAAATAAATTACCAGGAGTTTGTGGCAATGATGAGAAAGGGGATTCTGGATATTGATGAGAAGGAGAAACCACGATAACTGTTTTGTGTTGTGCTGTGTGCCATCAAAACAAACCGGTTTCTGGATTTTTCTTGCTGTTTGCTGCTTGCTGCTGTGATTGAATCACCTTTGAATGTGTGTATTTTCTTCATGGCATTCCCACTCTATGCCAAACTTTGTAAAGCTTCTATTGAATAAACTGCAATATGTGCAAAATAAATAAACTATAATCCAAGGCGTTCTGCTATTGATAACTTTATCATTGTTATTTGGTACGAGAAATATTTAGAAAAAAAAATGTTTTAAAAGTTTTAAAACTTTTCTTGATTCAGTTTTTTTTTAATGTTTAGAATTTCAACATGTATGTATGCAGCTTTTTTTTTAACAATCATATCCTTATATGTAATTATAAGATATACTTATAGTAGAGTATTAATGTTATTTGTAGGTGAAAATAAATACGTAAACTGAGTGAAAGGAATAGTTAAAATAATGGAGAAAATTTTAAAACATTAAATATGTTAACTTTACCTATTCAATTCTTGTGATAATTTATACATGAAAAATGATTCTTTTTTATACACCTAAATTTTTTATATTTATTTTACACTATTTTTCATTATTTTTTACTCTCTTGTTTTTTAACAAAATATGAAATTTATCACTTTTATGACTATTTTATCATTATATTTTGTGTCAAATAAACTAAAATGTGTCATGGTTCCATTACTCTTTATACTTAACCAGAAAAAAAGGAATACTATTTTTCTTTTTTAAATTATGACAAATTTAACATGACACTTATTATTTTTAGCTATTTCTATTTTGAATTATTAACAACTTTCCTAGAAAACCTAAGGCCACAAAT